AGAGTTACCGCGTGCCAATAACCACTAGACTGAGCAGTTTCTTTGCATTCTCTTCCTCCAGTTCAAGATGTTCCCCATCTGAAATTAAAATGGGAGTCTTAGGCCAGCTGGACAGCAGTTCTTTTTTTTTTCGGACAGCAGTTCTTATTTTTGCTAATGCCAAGGAGAGTTGCTGTATCAATATTAATCATCTGCATGAGATATTGAACAATGTGGTCCTGTCCTGATGAGTAGCAAGGGGCTTGTGGGAGGAGGTGATAGAAAATCTTAAACTGGCTTTGTGGCTACAGGTGCTCAATGGATAAGTCAGTCAATGAGGTGAACTCCTCACCCGCCTCCCCACCAGGACCCACTCCTCTTTCTGAGTCCCCCGTAAATCTGTAAGTGGTACCAACCCTCTGCCCCTTCACCTCCATCCAGCCACCAGCTGCCCCCGAATCCACCTCTGTCCCATTTCTGCATCCCGATCCCATCACCACTGCCCAGCTCAGCCCCTTGGGCCTTGGATAGCCCCATATGTTCCTGCATCTAATCTTGTCTGCATCAAAGCATCCCCCCTCGGATGCCAGAGTGATGTGGGTGCCAGGTCACCCAGCAGTTTAAAACCCACTGGTTGCTACAGATCAGGTAGAAACACAAGGTGTTTGGGGTCTTTTCTACCTGTTCCAGCCTTCTGTTCCCAGGGGCATCTCTCCCCTCCATACTTGCCCTGTGTAACCTCATCCATCGCGGAGGCTTCCACATCACCAGGGGGCCTGATGACCCCAGACCTCTCCCCTTCCTCCTAACTCCACTGCTGGCATCAGTTCAGGCTCATCCTCTCTGTTCCCGCCCCCCTCCATGTCTGTCCCCTCCAGTCCAACCAGAGGGCTTTTCCCCACAGAACCCACAGAATTCAGTTGTGTAATTAGGTTCTCAAAAGCCTTGAGTGGCTCGCCATCATCACTTCAGGACATTGTCCAAACTCCCCTCAAATGATATTCAAGACCCTTTCCTGTCAGGCCCTGCCTCCTCCCTGGGCTTGGTCGTCTCCCATCGCCCTTCTTCACACACATCCCACACTTCATTCTAGACATGGGCCCAGGGGCCTGACTGCATTCAGATCCCAGTTCCATGTTTAATTGGCTTTGTTACCTTTGCCAAGTTACTTAACCTCTCTGGGCCTCTGTTTACATATCTGTAAAATAAGAGTTGTTGAGGGTTAAATGAGATGATACGGGTAAAGTACTTAGAACAGCACCTGACCATAGTAAATCCCCGTAGGTGTGTGTTATTGCCCTGGTGATCTGGCCCCTGAAAGCCTCACGAGTGGGGTTTCCAGGGCACGCCCCACTCCACCCGCTGGCTATTCTCCAGCCACTGGAATGAATCCTGCTCTCTCCTGCCTTCTCAAAACCCCACTGCTACAGCACTCTCCCTGATCTTCCCCTGGGCCTCACCTGGCTACCTTCCACCATGCCCCTTCCTGCCTGGCCCTCAGTAACCTAGCTGCAGACCGCCGCCTTCTCTCCTGACTCAGAAATTGCCTGGTACATGGTATACTGGGAGGAGGAATTTGCACCCCTCCTCCCCACCCCCACCCGCCCCTGGCCACGTGAGGATGGATTGGCTGAGACCGGAAGGGGCTGCTCCCTGCCCCCACCCAGCATCTACTGTATAACATCTGCTTGTCTACTGGAGGCTTGTTTTTCGCTGCCAAGTTGCTCCTTGTGCCCGCGACACCAGGGGTCTCGGTTGCTAAGATTGGATGCAAATCCACCCGAGTGACAGAGGACCGCTCTCATTGGCTTTGACGTCCCCGCTATGGCAGACACAGTATTTCTTCAGCAGTTGCCCCCTTACCTGCCCCCTCGCTGCTAATAATGTTTTGTGGCTTGTTATTCCCGTGGCTGAATTTCTCGAAATAGTTTAGCCTTCGTCCCCCCCGCTGCCCAGCCAACTCCCTCCAGTGCATCACAAGTCTCCCATCCGGGGAGGCTCCTGCTCCCGGTGCGCTGATCATCCTGGTGCGCTGATCACCGCAGCCCCGCATCAGCCCTCCTCCTCTGATTCACATCACTCGTGTGTTTGTAGCACAGCCTTCCGCTGGGTGATGTCAAGATAAATCATTGTTCAGAACCTGTTAGCTGGCGGGAGCCAGGGACCTCAGCGTGACCCCTTTTATTGTATAGATGAATACAACAAAGTCTAGGAGGTCAGGTGACTTTTTTATGGTCACACAGTCAGATGTTTCCTAACTAAACTGAGACCGGAATCCAGATTTTCTGTTTTTCACTTTGGTACTCTTTCTAAATCACCAAAAACTATTTTTTTTAATGAAAAAATTTTAACTCAAAGTGGTAAAACATGCATAACATACAATTTACTGTCTTAGCCAGTTAAAAGTGTGCAGTTCAATGGTGTTAAGTATATTCAGATTATTGTATAGCTATAACCATCATCTATCTACAGAACTTTCTGTGTTCCCAAACTGAAACTCTGTATACATCACACAGTCACTCCCCATTCCTCCCCCTTCCCAGTCTTTGGTAACCACCTTTCAACTTTCTGTCCGAATTTGATTGCTCCCGATACCTGATGCAGGCGGCACTAGTGGTAAAGAACTCGCTTGCCCGCAGGAGACATGAGAGACTCGGGTTCCATCCCTGAGTCGGGAAGATCCCCTAGAAGAGGGTATGGCAACCCACTCCAGTATTCTTGCCTGGAGAATCCCATGGACAGAGGAGCCTAGTGGGCTACGTGGGGTCATAAAGGGTTGGACACGACTGAAGCCATTTATCATGCATAGCCTACAGGTACCTAATACAAGTGGAGACATATAGTGTTTTTTCCTTTAGTGTGATGGAGTATTTCACTTGGCATAATGTCTTCAAGTTTCATTGTAGTGAATGTCAGAATTTCCTTCCTGTTTGTAGCTGAGTAATACTCGATTGTATGTACATACCACATTTTGTTTATCCATTCATCTGTTGATGGGCACTCAGGTTTCTCCCACATTTTGGCTAGTGATAATAAAGCTGCTATGAACATGGGCGTACAAACATCTGTTTGCCAAGAGCTATTCCTTATGAAAATATATTCAGAGACACTTGCTGCTACTGGTATTTTTTTTTAAATGGTAAATTAGGAAAAGAACAACAGCAACAAAAAACCACCTTGAAGAATATAAAAGTCACTGATTTTACCTGGTATGTATCTTCTGTATTTCATACTTATGTTTCCCATAATTCTAAAAGTTTTATATAGACAGAGAATTTTAACCGAGGGAAACTTTTTTTTTTTTTTAACAATCTGTGTATTAAGGAGAACACTTGAAGTGTTTTTAAGGGACAGACAGTGTGAGAACTGAGTACAACCTTGGCTAACCATGGCGTTCTAGAGATTCCATTCATTCAAAGTATGAGCTTACTTTGACAGTAGTGCAGAGGGAAATTTTTGTGGTGGTGCTTCTTTAAGACTGTGCATGGGTCCTACGTTGCTCCAGTCGTATCTGACTCTGTGATCCTGTAGACTGTAACCCGCCAGGCTCCTCTGTCCATGGGATTCTCCAGGCAAAAATACCGGTTGCCATTTCCTTCTCCAGGGGATCTTCTCGACCCAGGGATCGACCCTTAGCATTTTGTAGAGTGCTTTTGTTGTTGTTATTCAGTAGCTAAGTTGTGTCCGATTCTTTCTGATCCCATGGACTGCAGCACGCCAGTCTTCCCTGTCCATCACCACCTCCTAGAATTTACTCAAACTCATGTCCATTGAGTCGGTGATGCCATCCAACCATCTCATCCTCTGTTTCCCCTTCTCCTCCTGCCCTCAATCTTTCCCAGCATCAGGGTCTTTTCCAAAGAGTGAGTTCTTTGCACCAGGTGGCCAAATGACTAAGAAGAGTCAAATTTTGAATGGGGGGTGCCAGGGGGGAGAGTCTTTCCTGGTCACATTTCTTAAATATCCACTAGGGGGCAGTAAAAGACACAAAAATTTTCAATAGTACCAATGAGTGCCTGGCAGTCTGGCCACTTCATCCTCTGCACACCTGTCTCAGCACCCTGTGCAAACAGTTGCAAGATAATGAATTTCACATGCAAGGGCATGTTTGGGTGAAACTGGTGATACCATCAGCTGTAGCCCAAGTGCAAGTTTTTCTCATATTCTGGCTAGCATTAATGCGTAAAACTTCATTCAGGATGTAGGGTCCAGATTGCATTTTTATTTAATTCACATTAGCCCAGTGATTCTCAAACGGAGTGGACACCAGAATTACCCGTCATACTTTTTCTCAAATACATATATGCCCAGGTCTCATCCCAGATCTATTAAGTCAGAATTTCTGGGCCTGGGGCCTAGTTATGTAGACTATCTTTAGATTCTGGTCCATGACTTCTTGCTAAGAACCAATGCGTTCATTCTTTAATAACTTTAATAACTGGGGGGAAGAGGTCACCTTTGAGTAAAACCTCTGAGGAAAGTGAATGTGACTTCTAGAATTTTTTTCTCTTTTTAAAATAGAAGTTACTGAAAGGGTCTGGTGGCTTGGGGAATGACACTCAGAACAGCTATGAAGCTTTCCCATAAATGGTGCCTATATTGGAGCAAGCCAGGAGCCCAGACAGAAGATCTGGAACTGAGGCAGGCCTGGCAAGCTCAGGATCTATGATGACAGTTCCAAGAAGGCCAAGCTCAAAGGCCAAACTCTTCAGTGTGTGGCCAGAGCTCAGATTCTGTCTGCCATATTAAGAGAATCTTTCCAATAGCATTCAGGGGAAAAGAGACCTTTTTTATCTTGTCAGAGATAAAGATGGCACAGGGAACTTGCCGTGAGGTCAGAAGTCTTCAGTTCTCATCCTGTGTGTGTGCTAAGTGGCTTCAGTAGTATCCGACTCTGTGCGACCCCATGGACTGTATCCCACCAGGCTCCTCTGTCCATGGGATTCTCCAGGCAAGAATACTGGAGTGGGTTGCCATTTCCTACTCCAGGGGATCTTTCCGAACCAGGAATAGAACCCGCATCTCTTAGTTCTTCTACATTGGCTGGGATGTTCTTTAGCACGAGCGCCACCTGGGACGCCCCAGTTCTCATCCTAACCATCCCCATAGCCAGTTAGGGGACCCAAGGCCACTCATGTCACCTCTCTGAGCCGCCCCTGCTCCGTGTGAATAATGAGAGGATTGGGTGCCATTGATCTCCGAGGATCCTTCCAGTTCTAAAGGTTCCATGATCCTGTTGGTGTTAATAATCTTGATTCGTATGGTACTACTCTGGCAGAACAGAAGAAATATTCAGTAATGCAGTGAATGACAGAGACTATTGACCATGTAGTTTAATTTATTTAAGGCATATACAGTGAATTCAAAGGAGAAAATATTGTGGCCAATAATATATTGAACTGTTAGTATCTTCAGCACAGCAAAAGCTTTCCAGAGGGAAAAATTACCCATCAGTGCAAACCTGACATTTTTCACTTCTTGATCCATAACTGCCATTTCTCCAGTACGCTTATATTTACTGTAAAGGGCCAAACGTATGAACGCTTCAGATGAATATTAAATAACTACCTAAGCGTCAAGGTCACTGTTGCAAGGTAGGCTCGGTGGAGGGCCCTGGGAGGCCGGCATTGATCTCCCATGAAGTTCCATTCTCGGATCCTGCTGACGAGGGGAAACAATGGATGTGGACCATTATTAAGGCTTTAAGTGTTTCCTCCATTGTTAACGATCTTTTACAAGCCCGGAGTAACTGATAGTGCCCAAGGAATTGGCAAAAGCTTCACTTAGAAATATAGGCTGGTCAGAGAGATAAGTAAAACCAGAGCACAGATGTCCTGGGTTGGGCTTACGCAGCAAAGGTGTGCGGCCAGGCGAGTCTGATGTCGGGGCACGCCGGCTCAGCTCCGAGTTAAGGTTCAGCAAGGAAGGAAAGCTCGCTCTCGAGCTCTTTCAAGCCAGAAGCTGCAGAGAGAGTGGCTCCCTCTTTCAAATTCACCAGTAAGGGGCTGCTCTGGCAGTCCAGTGGTTAAGACTTTGCCTTCCAGTGCAGGGGAAACTGGTTCGATTCCTGACCAGGGAGTGCAGATCCCACATGCCTTGCAGCTAAAAGAAAAAACGAAGGATCAAATAGAGGCAGGGGACTTCCCTGGTGGCTCAGTGGTAACGCATCCGCCTGCCAGTGCAGAAGACATGGGTTCAGTCCCTGATCTGGAAGATCCCACGTGCCTCGGAGAACTAAGCCTGTGTGCCACAGCTGCAGAACCCACACACTGCAGCTACTGAAGCCGTCATGCCCTTGAACCAGTGCTCCGCAGCAAGAGAGGCCACCACAGTGAGAAGCCCACAGACTTCAACAAAGAACAGCCCCTGATCGCCGCAACTCGAGAAAAGCCCGTGCAGCAACGAAGACCCAGCAAAGCCACAAATAAATAAAAACCCCGAGGCAATAGTGTGGCGATTTCAATAAAGACTAAAGATGGTCCACATTAAAAAAAAAAACACACATTGAAAATTTAAAAACAACAACAACAATGAAAAACCAGATCCACCTTTAAATTTCCTCCAGTTCCCCTCTCCTGATGAAAACCTCTCAAGGATCAGACAAGTTGTCTGGGAGAAACTGGGTGTGTGTGAGTGGTGCAGAGCCAGGCTGAGTGTCTGCGCCGGTCAAGCACCCCGGGTAATTATGTGGGTGTCCTGCTGACCTGGAGCTGGGAGGAGAGCAGATCTTAGGATGACAGAATCTAGTTTCAAAAGATCTCAACAGATCAAAGGACCGAGTGAGTCTACCAGATGAACCTAATGAGAGACACAGAAGCTGAAACTAACAGTTCCCGCGTGCGAGCTCTCTGTAGCGGTGCGTTCTGCCCTATGCACATTGCAGTTTATTTCCTCTTTACAGTGATCCAGGGAGGAAGGTTTTTATATCCCCATTTTTTTAAAACGAGGAGACTGAGGTGTGGAAGTACAGAGGACGGTGCACACACCTCAGAGCCCTTGATCTAGGTTCCAATACCGGTTCTGCCCTTCAGTCTGCCAGAAAGTTACTTCGGAAAACAGTGTGGAGATTTCTTAAAAAGCTGGAAATAGAACTGCCATATGACCCAGCAATCCCACTTCTGGGCATACACACCGAGGAAACCAGATCTGAAAGAGACACATGCACCCCAATGTTCATTGAAGCACTGTTTATAATAGCCAGGTCATGGAAGCAACCTAGATGCCCATCAGCAGACGAATGGATGAGGAAGCTGTGGTACATATACACCATGGAATATTACTCAGCCATTAAAAAGAATTCATTTGAATCAGTTCTAATGAGATGGATGAAACTGGAGCCCATTATACAGAGCGAAGTAAGCCAGAAAGATAAAGACCATTACAGTATACTAACACACATATACGGAATTTAGAAAGATGGTAACGATAACCCTATATGCAAAACAGAAAAAGAGACTCAGATGTATAGAACAGACTTGTGGACTCTGGGAGAAGGCGAGGGTGGGATGTTTCAAGAGAACAGCATTGAAACATGTATATTATCTAGTGTGAAACAGATCACCAGCCCAGGTTGGGTGCATGAGACAAGTGCTCGGGCCTGGTGCACTGGGAAGACCCAGAGGGATGGGGTGGAAAGGGAGGTGGGAGGGGGGACCAGGATGGGGAAAACATGGAAATCCATGGCTAATTCATTTCAATGTATGACAAAAACTACTGTAATGATGTAAAGTAATTAGCCTCCAACTAATAAAAATAAATGGAAAAAAAAAAAGAAATTTACAAAAGCAAAAAAAAAATAAAATAAAAAAATAAAAATCTGAAAAAAAAAAAAAAAAACAGCAATGCTATAATCACTTTAAATACAGACTTTGGAGTTTCTTATAAACTTTCAAAAAACAAAAAACCAACCAGCAACACCTAGGCTTTATGGCTGCCTTTCCTGTGTCAGCTTCAGTGGGCCTCACCCTTGCAAGTATTATCTCATTTAATCCTCAGAACAGTCTTGCTCCTATTTTACAGACGGGGAAGACACAGATAATTGACGTAACTTGCCCGGGGTCACACAGGAAGCAGCAGGGCGGGGATATGAGCCCAGACATTCTGACTTGCAGGCTTGCGCTCCCTGTTTCCTATATTACGAAAAGGGAACAATCATATGTTCTGTGAGGGCTGGATGAAATAAATTCTGTAAAGTGCCTCAAATAGTCCCCACACATAGTGAAGTGAAGTGAAATTCGCTCAGTCATGTCTGACGCTTTGCGACCCCATGGACTATACAGTCCATGGAATTCTCCAGGTCAGAATACTGGAATGGGTAGCCTATCCCTTCTCCAGCAAATCTTCCCAACCCAGGGATCGAACACAGGTCGCCTGCATTGCAGGTGGAGTCTTTACCAACTGAGCAATCAGGACTTGCTCAGGGTGATAGCTAATAACCGGCCAAGACCTGGGGTGGGAACCCCGGTCTCCTGATTGCAAATTGGCTGCACTGTGGAGGACAAGATCGTGGCAATTTGGGGGTCACTGTCTCAGTACCTGGCACAGTGTTACCTCGCTGGCAGGTGCTGAGTGAGTCCTTATGTAGGTGGGGTCATTCTGTCCCTCATTCACCATTTGCCAAGGCCCTGCTGTGTCTCGGGGACCAGAGAGGACAGGAACATGGCGCTAACCATCCTTTTTCTCCCGCAGGTTCGAATGGTGAAAGATGGGGACCCCTCCTGGAAGCCCACTTTTATCGTGAAGCCTGACAGTGGTTGTCAGGGAGACGGGATCTACCTCATCAAAGACCCCAGTGACATCCGCCTGTCGGGGACGCTCCAGAGCAGGCCGGCGGTGGTCCAGGAATACATCTGCAAGCCCCTGCTCATCGACAAACTCAAGTTCGACATCCGTCTGTATGTCCTACTAAAGTCTCTAGAGCCCTTAGAGATCTACATAGCCAAAGACGGACTATCTCGGTTTTGTACAGAGCCGTACCAAGAGCCCAGCCCCAAAAACCTGCACCACATCTTCATGCATTTGACCAACTACTCCCTGAACATACACAGCGGGAACTTCATCCATTCGGACAGTACTAGCACAGGCAGCAAAAGGACTTTTTCTAGCATTCTCTATAGGTTGTCCTCCAAGGGTGTTGACATCAAGAAGGTCTGGTCCGATATCATCTCCTTGGTGATCAAGACCGTCATTGCCCTGACCCCAGAACTCAAAGTGTTCTACCAGTCGGACATCCCCGCAGGGAGGCCAGGCCCCACCTGCTTCCAGGTAACCAGCGCCAGTTCCCAACTGGAGTTCTTGGCCTTGACCGGGCCCTTGGAGGGCTCCCTGGTCTCCTGTGGGGTGAGGGATGGGGGCGGGGTGGTCAGAGGGGAGGAGGATGGTTGCCCGCATGGGCTTTGGTGTGGAGCAGGGTCCAACTTCCTGCTGTGTGCCTTGGGGCAAGTTACTTCCATTTTCTCACCTGTAAAATGAGACTAAGAGTAAACCTCCCTTAAAGGATGCTTGTAAGAGTGAAATGAGCAGTATGGAAAGCCACAGTGCCTCCCATTCATTCTTTCTTCCTGCAGTTTTCACCACCTGCTTAGCAGGGGCCAGGCACTGTTTGAGGTACCAGTGAGGCCACAAGTCAGGTCCCTGCTGGCTGATGCAGAGAATCTGTGCTCTTGTGGGAGACGAATAAGTTAAAGAGCTATTCGTGTAGGGACTTCCCTGGTGGTCCAGTGGTCAGGACTCCACGCTTCCGGTGCACCGGGCCTGGGTTTGCTACCTGGTAGGGGAACTAGGATCCAACATGCTGCATAGAATGGCCAGAAAAAAGAAAAAAAAGCCATTTGCATAAAGTGTCACAAGTGCCGGAATAAAGGAAACATACCAGGTGCTGTGAGATTGTGGGGCCATCTAACATTTTCTGTGTGGGAACAAGGGTGGTCTGGGAAGACTTCCCAGAAGTAGGGCCTGGAGTAAGAGTTAGATGGAGCAGGCGAGACTGGAGGGGGCTGGGGAGACAAAGCATCCTGGGGGAGAGTGGAAAGACTGGCGGGAAGAGCCGGAGACAGACTGACTCCCGGCTGGCTTAGGTGCTTGGATGGATGGAGAGAAGCCGCCGGAAGGGGGCCAGGCTTGTGGGCCGGGGTCAGGAGCTGGACTTGAACATGGCTTTGAAGGGCGTGTGTGACACCCAAGTGGGGAGATTAGGTGGGTGTTGGGCATCTGACCCTGGAGTACAGGAGAGAGAGGGCTGGGCGGGAGAGAGGTTGGGAGCATCAGCGTTCGGATAGTCACAGGGCTGTGAGATGCTGCAGGGTGAGCAGAGGCCAGAGAAGACCCCCTTGGGCACCGCCATTCAGTAAGGGACAGGGTGATGTGTGGATCACTGAATCAGCTGCTGGGCAGGGAGGAGATGGACACGGGGGTGGTGCATCCTTCCAGGTCATTTGGCCGTGAAAGTGGTCGGGGGAGACCCGGAGTCCAGGTGCTTGATGGGCACGCAGTTTCCTGCAAATAAATCAGGCTAGGGATCAGATGATACAAAATACCACCTCTGGGACCCATTCGATCTAATCTTGAAGCAGTTAGAATATAAGAAAGAATACGTAGAACATGTGTGTAAGCTACGAAGCAGAAGCACAAAGCCATCATCTCCAACCTGCCTCCCAACCCAAGGTGTCCCATTACAGTGCTGCTCCCTGATCCCATTCCTCACCCCAAGGTAACCATCGTCCCGAATGTTCTCGTTACCATTTCCTTCCTTTAAAAAAAACCTTTTATTATATGTGAATATATCCCTAAGGAGTATATCGTTTTGCTTGTTTCTGAGCATCATAAAAACACTGCGATCACGTACATAGCCTTCTGCAACTTTCTTTCTGACTCTGTGTGGAGGTAGGTCGTTGTTTCCATTTCATTTGCATGGCTGTACATCCCATTGTAAATACACACACTTTGTTTATCGGTTCTTCTATCATTGAACGTTTGAGTTGTTTCTTGTCCTTTAAAGGCTGCGGCAGGAGAGACACGGGTAGCGTGGAACAGGAAGGGGGAGGGTGAGGCAGCGAGGCAGCATCTCTGACAAGAGAGAATGCTGGTTCGGCAGCAGGAGAGGAGGCTGGTCCCAGGGTACAGCCCCAGGTCCAGAGAGGCTACCCTGATAGTGGGAACCAGTCAGCAGGATTTCCGGGAAGGCTGGTGGAAGCCTTTGGAGAGAGGCATTCAGGCAGTGCTCAGTTTTGGTGGGGGGCGAGGGGGTGGTGGTGGAGGTAACTGTCATCCAAAATCTGTCCTTACTTGGACCCCAGGCAGGATGTCCATCAGCCATCAGGCTTAGGGCATTAGAAAGGGGAAGTGGGCACAGCTTAGAGGCAGGACCAGAGAAAACAAGTCCTGGCTTGAGCCACTGGAAGGTTGGGGCGAAGGAGAGAGTTGCAACGTGGAGGCGGCCAGGGGTCATCCCAGGGGACTGCGTGGTCACATCTGTTCGACAGTGACAGCTATTCCGGGAGCGTCATGTGGGCCCCCATGCGTGGCCAAGCCGCAGAGCCCTGGCACAGAGAGGGTGCAGGGTGGAGGGCCAGGGCCGTGGTTTTTCCGCCTGTCTTGCTGTGGACCAGCGGCATGGGGCGGCCACGGGGCGGAACCAGGGCCCCAGCTGGAGGGCAGACAGACAGGGAGCCTCTGGTTTGGACAGAGCGCAGCTGGCGCATGGAGCCGCAGGCCTGTAAGCGTTTTCCACTGCTCGACCCCGCTGAGTGCTGCCAGGCCTGGGGTCGGGAGAGGAGCACAGGGCCGGAAGCAAGCCTCCAGGGGGAATCCATCCTCTTCCCCTGGGGGCCCCATGGGCACGTTTCCTCACCACCCGGAGCCTCTGTTTCTTTCTCTGTGAATCGCCTACACTCACCTCCTTACCTGCCATCTTGCGAGCAGTGTGAAGTAATGAGGGTGAAATGCTTTGATGAGGCATAAAGCATTGTGGTGGTTTAGTTGCTAAGTCGTGTCCAACTCTTGCAACCCCAGGGACTGTAGCCCATCAGGCTTCTCTGTCCATGGGGTTCTCCAGGCAAGAATACTGGGGTGGGTTACCATTTCCTTCTCCAGGGGATCTTCCCGATCCAGAGATCCAACCCATGTCTCCTGAATTGCATGTGGATTCGTTACCGACTGAGCCACCAGGAAGCCCACAAAGCATTAGATACTTGAAATCTGTTTTAAGGTACATTTCAGATTCACAGTGACTGAGAAAACAGTATCTTTTCCTCCTTGGAGTGTCCTCCCTTGCTTTCTTTATCCTTATCACTTGTTAAAACATTTGTAAGTTTAGGTCTCAAACACCTGAACTAACTTGGAACCCAAAGATTTAGGGACAACACATGGTTCTGACATTGACTTGCTGTATGACATTATATAAGTTGCTTGACTTTTCTGTGCCTCCATTTCCTCACCTACATCACAGGGCTGTCGTCTAACTCACATGAGATCAAGGTGATAAAGGGCTTTGCAAACTATAATGTTTTGTGCATATATAATGCATTTTTTCTTTGTCATGGATGCCCTTTTTGCTTGTAGCCAGGCCTGGCCCAGACTGCAGCATTCCAGAACATACACTCTAAGCCAGCGAAATTACATTTATCTTAAACACGTGACTGTGACCCCTTTCCAATCACAGCCACAATAACTACTTGGGAAATTGTGATGGCCTGGAGCAGGGACTGGCATGGCTGGGCTGTGGGCAGGTTTCCTGTAATCTGTTGCCCAGGAACGTGGCTGCTCAGTCATTCGGGTCTGTCCGCCTGTCATTGCCCAGACAGCCCCCAGCAACATTTCCCCCGTCAGTCTTCTGGAGGGCAGCTCTGTGACCCCAGCTTAGAGAGTCAGGCCCGTCTGGGTGTAGACGATTCATGTGGCAGAAATGCACTCACCGAGGAGGGCTTTCCAGCTCAGCTTTTGTGAACTTTTCTATCCCAGTTCCACGGCTGGGTTTCTGTCTTCCTCTCACTCTGGGTCCACTTCTCCCCTTGGCTGTGATCCTCTTTCTTCGGTGTCCAGAGGAGGCACCTCCCCTAAGTGCTAAGGTGCTTCTTCTGTCCCTTCTTTGCTCTTATGATCTCCCCCACCACCAGTCCCAGACACCCCACAGAAAGGAGGGGAAGGAGCAGCTCAGCGCTCACACATGGACTTGGATTTTGTTCTCGGGACGCCCTGGGTTTGCACTAAGCCCAGCTCCTGCTTCCAGCAACTCCAGCTGGAGAGCTTGGCAAGTTCCCCTTTCTCTGCCTCAGTTTCCTTATCTGCAAATAGAATATTGGTCCCTGCCTCACAGAGCTGTTGTGAGACTGCGTGAGAGAAAGCTGTGTTGAAGAGTACCCAGCAGGTGGCAATCACTTAATAAATAATGTCATATCGTTTGCTATCGGTCACGACAGTTGTTCTCAAACTGGTCTATGAAGAAGTGCCTTGAACTTAGGGAGAAACCAGGAAGCAAGTCACATTTCCAACTTAATGGAACACTGGTGTTCCAAGGAGCACGGTTTGAGAAACAGGTCCTGACCCCCGTTGCCTCCCAGCCTGGCCCCAGCCTCGCTTCCCTGTTCCTTCCAGATGCACGCGAGTCTGCCAAACGCAGGGGACTCCTGTCTCTTGGACATCCTCTGTGTTTCCCCCATTCCACCCTTTCTTTCTCTCCTGGCTTGGCCTCTTCTCCCACGCTCTCTCCTCTTCCCCCTCTCTTGTAAAATCTAGTGCCGGCAAGGTAGTGCTCGAATCCCCACCTTTTCCACAAAGCCTTCCTCGACCACTTTTGACATGTAAGCTTTTTTTTTTTTCCTTCTTTAAGACACATATGCTGGTCACCCACTGACACAAGCCCTGAGCTGGCTGTGGGCGTGTGGTGTGGGCGAGGCTGCAGTCCTGCCCCTAAAAGGCGCGCAGTATAGTGGGGAAGACTGCCATGTGGGAATCGTGAGCACCGTGGAGGGAAATGCGCAGGATTATGGGAGAACACAGACAAGGCAGCTTGTCTGCACCTCCTGCGTTGGAAGTGCGGAGTCTTAACCACCGGACCACCAGGGAAATCCCAGTGTGACCACTTCTAACCAACACAGCTGCTTCCATCCCAGTCCAGACAGCCGTCATCTTGTACTTGAATCACTGCTATTGCCTCCTAATTGATGTTCATTTCCCCACCCTTGCTGCTTGTAGCCTATTTTTCTCACTGTAGCTAAAGTGATTCTTCTAAAACATGTCAGATCAAATTACTTCCCTGTGTAAAGTCTCTGATGCCTTTCTCATTGCACTTAAAATCCTGGCTCCTTACCATGGCTTGCAAGATGCTACATGATCTATCCCTTGCCATTCTGTCTGACCTCATCTCCTGTCTCCCTCTCTCTCACTCCTTGCTGTTCGTCAGAAGTGGCCTATGTTTGTGCCGTTCCTTCTGCCTGGGACGCTCGTCTTCAGCTCTTCAAATGACTTATTTGCTCACTTCACTCAGCCCCTGTTCATACATCACCTCCTGAGTCTTTGGCTTCTGGTCGTGATGGAGTAACAAAGACTGGACTTAACCTTCTTTTGAAAACAACTAGAATACCAGACAAAGTACATGAAAGAAGTGTTTTCAGATTTTGTACAACAGACAGCTCGGCATCGTAATCCCCAAGGAAAGCAGGGAACAAAAGCCGAGATGCGCCTACGGTTGCCTCAGCTTTCTGTCTGGAGGCACTCTCCAAGACATGGGCGGGGGTGAGGGGCCACCTAAACAGAATCCTGTGATCTCAGTGAGTTGAGGAGAGGGAGATAAGCATTTAGTAATGCCAAGGTGGCTGGAATTCTGTGGGTAGAATTCTTTAAAGGAGGGACCCTACCTGAACCTGCATGGGAATCGCTTTGCTGAGTGCTGGGCTATTCATGTACGGAGGGTTAATCCACAGAGTTGGGCAAAGAATGACCAGGGAACTGAGAAGATGAACCAGAGCTCACACAGAGCAGGGAGATGTCCAAGCTCCAAAGGGTCAGTGTGGAGGGTGCTTGGTGGTTACTGGACACACTCAAGGGAGACTGCAGAGAAGTTCTGTCTTAATGGACTGAATCTTCCCTGGGATGAAAGTTACTCTAAACTCAACCTAGTAAAGCTTAAATAATAGGTCTGAAAGGTATCAACATAATCTGCAAACAACTGACTGCCTAAAAACTTCAGTTCGGTTCAGTCGCTCAGTCATGTCAGACTCTTTGTGACCCCCTGGACTGCAGCACGCCAGGCTTCCCTGTCCATCATCAACTCCCAGAGCTTGCTCAAACTCAGGTCCATCGAGTCAGTGATGCCATCCAACCATCTCCTCCTCTGTCATCCTCTTCTCCTCCTGCCTTCAATCTTTCCCAGCATCAGTGTCTTTTCAAATGAGTCAATTCTTTGCATCAGGTGGCCAAAGTATTAGAGTTTCAGCATCAGTCCTTCCAATGAATATTCAGGACTGATTTCCTTTAGGATTGACTGGTTTGATCTCCTTTCAGTCCAAGGAATTCTCAAGAGTCTTCTCCAACACTGCAGTTCAAAAGCATCAGTTCTTTTTCTCTCAGCTTTCTTTATGGTCCAGTTCTCACATCCATACATGACTACTGGAAAAACCATCACTTTGACTAGATGGACCTTTGCCGGCAAAGTAATATCTCTGCTTTTTAATATACTGTCTAGGTTGGTCATAGGTTTTCTTCCAAGGAGCACGCATCTTTTAATTTCATGACCGCAGTCACCACCTGCAGTGATTTTGGAGCCCAAGAAAATAAAGTCTGTCACTGTTTCCATTGTTTCCCCATCTATTTGCCATGAAGTGATGGGACCGGATGCCAGGATCTTAGTTTTTTGAATGTTGAGTTTTAAGCCAACTTTTTCACTCTCTTCTTTCACTTTTATCAAGAGGCTCTTTAGTTCCTCTTCACTTTCTGTCATAAGGGTGGTATCATCTGCGTATCTGAGTTATTGGTATTTTTCCTGGCAATCTTGATTCCAGCTTGTGCTTCATCCAGCCTGGCATTTCACATGATGCACTCTGCATAGAAGTTAAATAAGCAGGGTGACAATATGCAGCCTTGACATACTCCTTGCCCAATTTGGAACCAGTCTATTGTTCCATGTCCAGTTCTAGCTGTTGCTTCTTGACCTGCATACAGATTTCTCAGGAGGCAGGTAAGGTGGTCTGGCCTAAAAACTTAGCACTTTTTAAAAAAGAAGACAAAATCCAGATACTGAGCATTAAATGTCCATTGTCCAATAAAAAGCCACTAGATATTCCCCAAGGCAGGAAAAGCTAACCCATACCTAGTGGGAATATCAATAGGAACAGTCCCATAAATAGTAGAAATAATGAAACTAATAGAAAAAGGATGTTAAAACAGCTATTACAACTATGTACAAAAGTTTAAAGGAAAATAGTTATTGTAGAGAGAAATGAAGCTATGAAAAAGAACCAAATGGAACTTCTAGGGACCAAATGGAAGAAAATGCAATATCTGTATTGAAAATTTCACTGGGTAGGATTAACAGCAAATTAGATACTGTAGAAGTGATCAGCAAACTTGAAGACATAGCAATAGAATTTATTCAAAATGAAACACAGAGAGGAAAGTGACAGGAACAATAAATGAACAGACCCTCAGTCACTTATGGTACAATATCAGATGGTCTAACATCTGTGTAATTGGAGTTTCCTGAGCAGAGGAGACAAGGAAGATACAGAAAAATATTTGAAGAAATGGCCACACATACACTAATGTGTACACATACACACCAAGACTTATCAGAAATCAGTGACAATAAGAAAATCTTAAAAGCAGCTAGAGTGAAAAGACACATTATGTTCAGAGGAATGAAGAATAATTGAAAACCTCTCATCAGAAACAGTGCAAACCAGAAGACAAGAGAATGACAAATCTCACCTTCTTAGAAAGGCCTTTCCTGACCACCACGCCCTTCCCTCCATCCACTATACACTCTATGTTCTCACCTTGTCATAGATATTTACGAGCTTATGGTCTCTCTACTAGAATGTAAGCTCCAAGAGGGCAGGAGTTAAAACAAACTTTGTCTTCTCCACTGCTTTATCCCCAGTGCCTGGAATACTACTTAGTGTTTGGTAGCTGCTCAATAAGTATTTGATAAATTAAGTTGTCCTCCAAGTAGAAGAGTATAAGGGCAGAGAGCAGGAAAGCATTCCAGAATTACTAATGTTGTTGCATAGTTGCTAATTCATGTCCAGCTCTTTTGCAATCCTGTGGACTGTACCTGCCAGGCTCCTTTATCAAGGGATTTCCCAGGCAAGACTACTGGAGTGGGTTGCCATTTCCTTCTCCAGGGCATCTCCCCGACCCAGGGATTGAACTGGGGTCTCCTGCGTTGGCAGACAGATTTTTTACCACTTGAAAAGCCCAGAATTACTAACAGTTTAGCACAATTAGAGCCCAAGGCGTGCAGCGTTGAGTCGGAGAAAAGAAAGCTAGAGTTTGACACAGATGCTGGTCATAGAGGAATTTGCAGGACATGCTCTGGAACTTGGGCTTCCTCCTGTAAGCCGGGATTTTAGGTAGAGTGGTCCTAACATTTTATTTGCATTTTAGAAAAATTACTCTGGTGGCCTTTCATGCCAGGTGATTAGAGGGGTGAGTTTGAGAGCAGGGAAATGAATGGGGGCAGGTATTAAAGTAGTCCAGGTGAAAGATGGTGCAGGTTTGATCTAGACTAGGAACAGGGAGATTGGGCCAGGTCTAGAAAGCTGTTTTGGAGGTAGAATGTACAGAGCCTGTGAGCAGCAAGATGTGAAGGAAGGAGGGATTTCTGGCTGACTGCTGCTGGTTCAAAGTCCCTCACAGGCTACGGTTAACATATTGTCTAGGACTTCAGTCATCTTGAGGCTACGGGGGAAAGATCCCCTCCCCAGCTCACTCACATGGCTGTTGGCAGGCCTCACATCCCCCTTGCTATTGACTGGGACATCAGTTCCAGAGGCCATCTCAGCCTCTCCATCCAGCAGCTCACAACATGGAAGCTGGCTTCCCTTAGTGTTGAGGGAACAGAGAGTAAGATAATGCATCTTAAGATGCAAGCCACGGTCTTTTTATATAACCTAATATTTGAAATGATATCCCATCATTTCTGCCCTATTTTGTTTGTTAGAAAAACATTACTAGGTGCAGCGCGCACTCAGGCAAAGGGGCTTACAAAAGGGCATGAATACAGGATGTGGTATCATTGGGACTGTCTTAGAGTCTGCTGATCACAGATAGTGAGTTTGGTTATGTTGAATGTGAGGGGTGTTGGATCTCCAAGTTGGGAATACTCTGGATGCAGCTGGATGTGTAGTTCTGGGGCTCAGGAGATAATTCCTTCTCATTGGAATGTAGGTTGGAGGCTTTACCTGAGTTTACAATGAATAGCTCAGGGCCCTTTTCTCTCCAACTTGCTTTGGAAGCTTCCAGAGGTGAGGGATGAAGGACAAGGTATCTTTGAGTCCCCAGGGCACCCTGTAAGAAGCAACACATCATTGCTGACTGAATGACTTGGAGAGTGGAGAGTATCACATAATTGAAAAGTTCTCTCTCTCTCCATTTGACATTTCCTGCTCTGCCACCAAGCTGGAGACAGTTTTCCTGTTTCTAAGCTGCAGGTTTCTAATGTGCAAAGTGGATGTTAGATTAGATTAGCAGTGTTATTGTTCAGTCTGACTCATTGCAACCCCATGGACTGTAGCCCACCAGGCTCCTCTGTCCATAGAATTCACCAGGCAAGAATACTAGAGTGGGTTGCCATTTCCTTCTCCAGGAGATCTTCCCAACCCAGGGATTGAACTCAGGTCTCCTGTATTTCAGGCAGATTCTTTACCACTAAGCCACAAGGGAAGCCAGGATCAGTAGTATATATATGTATATATACTACTAATCTGGTATAGATAGATAGATGTGTAGATATAAATATATACTTTTCCCATGGGAACCCCAGGATGTAAAAAAGATAAAAGTTGATCTGATCTGGTCTCCCCAGTGCTTCCCCCTCAAAATATGGAAAAACACTGAACCAAATAAATTCCTGATTTTCTGCCAGCTCTGACATTCTGGGATCTTATGAAAAGACCAACTCTAAGCTCCCCCCAAGTTTTGTGATTCTGTTTCTTGAGGCCCACTGCTGCTCCATTTTTTATTAAACTTTGGGGGGAAATTCATCTTTCCTTGAACTCTTGAAGAACTATAAAGATGACTTTCACTAAATACTATGTGTCAAGTACCATGCAAATCATTTTACACCTCATTATCTTTATTTGCTCCTGTCTCCCTGACTAGAGTGTAAGTTCCATAAGGGTAAGGACTTTGTCTCGTCCACTCCTGTATTTCCGGAAGCTGGAAAAGCCTCTCGGGCACAGGAGGCATTCAGTGTTTAATGAATGAGTGGACTAAGGTAGGCACTATTATGCCCATTTTACAGATGAGGAAACTGGGGCTTGGAGCTGCCAAGTCACCTGCCGGTAGTTACACAAGCTGAAGGCAGAACTAAGATTTGAAATGAGTTCCTCTGGACTCCAAAGCTAATAGTGCCAATTCTTATTGATGGGATCAGTAGGAAACCAGAAAGGGAGCCAGCGTATATTGAGTACTTTCTTTAAGATGAGCATAACTCTAGGGATTCTTTTTTGCTTCCATTGTCAACTACCCTATAAGGTAGCTGTGGTTATGCCCAACTTTTTCAGATGAGTTATGTGAGGCTCACAGAGGCTTAGAATTGTGTAGCAAATATGAGAGACTGAACTGGATTGAAAGCCCAAGTCTGGCTCCAAAGCATTCCTACACAAGACTCAACACAGTCAACTACATGCGCCAGAGTTTAGGCTCTGGAAAGTTTTATGCAACTGCTGGGTGCAGGTCCCTGTGGCTGGTGAAGTTCTGCCACTCCTCTTCTCCAGCTTTCCTATAGCTGTGGATTCATGAAATCCTTGTGCACTGAGCTGAGACGAATCCACCAGGCTGAGAAAGGACAAGTCCAAGCTTCTAAGATGTAGCAAAAAGTAAGCGCCCATGACTCAGGATGATAAACGTTGACACTGCTTCCCATTGTTCTCTGCAGGCTCATCAACCTCAGGTCTCAGACCAGGTCTGAAGTTAGACTGATGATGTCACCAGAGTCTCTTACAGGCCTCATCACTCATATCCACTTGTCATATATTATTAAGCAGATCTATAATACATGTAACATTTTCTACTGAATTTCCATTCCTTTCTTCTTATGACCAGGGAAAGAAAAATAGAGTGAGGATGACTTTTCCCAACTTTTCATCCTATTGTCCTTTCTTGAAGAATAACCTCATCTTGAATTATGCACCCTGCCCCCCACCCCCAAATGGTCATTCGGGCTCTGAGTTCATTAATAAGGATGAAACTACACTTTAATAATTATCATTTAACTAATGCATATTCTAGATAGACAAGTAGATGGATTTCCCCTCATATTTTCTTCTTGAGTCCACAGGGGAGGCGATGCAGCTGTATCTTTGTTCTCTCCCCTCCTTTATTCTCCATGTTACTTTTTGAAGCTTTGGGATGGTATCACTCACACTAGGAGTTTTCTTCTACCTTATCACCTCCTAGAGAGATAATGACAGTCCTCCCAAGAATCTGGCATCCTCATAGTCCACGTCTGAATCCAATTAGAAGCTGCGATCTCAAGGGTGAGGAGATGTTATCTAGATAAAGGGCTGTTTCAGGCAGAGGGAATGAAATGCACAGGGTGACTTACCCCAAGCAGGGGACTCCTGAGGAGTTGAAAGAGGCCAGAAGACAAAGCAACACCTGAGGCAGAATGCCGCGTTCAAGAGTGGGTGGTTGGCCAATTCGCAAGGGCGCTAAAGCTGGCCATGGGCGCATGCTGGCCCCAGGGGCGTGTGGGCTGCGCCGTCACAGGGTCCCACACTCCAAAGGGCTCCATGCTTGGTTTAATGCTCTGTTTCAGCATCATGAAATTTATTAATACTTTTTGAGCAAGAGACCCTGCATTTCCATCTTGCACCGGGTCCCACAAACTACATAGCCAGTTCTGCAGTTCTGAAATTTAGCTCTGTCATTTACAAGAGGAGCAGTCTCAAGGAAACCCACTGGCCTTTCCGAGACTCACTTTCTGCTTCTGTGAAACACAGGGCATGATCCCTACTTCAAATAAGCTGTTGTGAGAACGAATCGAGATTGTGAATTATTCGTGCATTTTATGATAATTGGTGCCTAGTGGGCACCTAATAAATATTCCCTTCTTCTTGGGTAGGAGGGTCTATCAGAATTATCCAGGGGATTTGTTATTGAAAATACACTGGCTGCGTTCCACCCTGAAAGGCTCTGACTCATAGGTGTGGGCTAGGGATGAGCGGTGGTTTTGAAAGGGGTCCCTAAGTGATGCTGATATATACCCGAGGTTAAGAAACACAGTCTCAGGTTTTTTAGAGATCCACCTAAGAAGCAACTTAAAAGAGGAGAACAGAAGGAGAGGGAGAAATTGATGGACTATTACTGATTCTTCACATAATAAAAAACCTGTTAAAGAAGAGCGAGGTCATCATCTTACAGCCCTTCAGATGACACTCATGGTGCTGAAATGAACCATGGGACCTCATCCCATTCCCAAGGCCCCTATAAAATTTTCTGCTGTCCATTTGGCCTGACAAGTCCATCCAGAGGAAGAGGGGCTATGGATGAGAGAAGCCAGGGTCAAGGCCCAGGTTGGGGGTGGAGTTGGAATTTATTTTCACCTTAATACCCCTAATACAGTACCTGATTCCTGAAAAGACACTGTAACTAATTCTGAATTATGTTTATCCTGCCCCAGATTTTAGGCTTTGACATTCTTCTCATGAAAAATCTGAAGCCTATACTACTTGAAGTAAATGCAAATCCCAGCATGAGAATTGAACACGAGCAAGAAGTAAGTATTTTGAGTATCTCAATGAACAGATTACCAGGCAAACTGAACGTTCCCACTCTTCTCGCTGCTCCCTTGGCTAAACAAGATTCGACATTGTCCGATTTGCCCGGCCAAGTTCTGTTCCTGCCTAAATAACTTCAGTTTTGTTGAGCTCAGAACATCGTCTATTAATATAAGACCTATCCAACCTATGGTGACTTCCCCACATGCCCTTCTCCAGCTCTGAAGATCTGCAAATGGAGAAGCAGCTGAGCCTTTCCATCAGTTTTGACATGAACTAATTAGTCAGCCTCAGGAGATGAACTAATTGAAATTCTATGAATATGATTTAGCCATGTCGACATGCTTGAGTCCCTAAGATAAATAGTATATTGAGCAGTGCTTACCTCCCTCCCCCCCACCCCATTTAAGAATGCATTAAAAAAGACTGGAAGGAAATACACCAATTATTAATCCTGGGTTTTGGGTGGGGATGGATTATGAGGGTTCTTTTCTTCACCTCTTCCATATTTTCAAATATTCTAAAATGAGCATTTCTCATTTTGATAATGAGAAAAACCCAGTGCTATTGTTCCCCCTTCGTGTATTTTGTTGATTTGGAAAAGGAAACTGACATTTTAAAGGCAGACTGAAGGGAGCCTTTAAACAATTCTGGCAGCACAACCACTGGGGCTGGCGCTTGTGGTCAGTTGGTGCTGAATCCCTGTCTCTACCGTAACACGGAATCCTTACCCTTCAAGCTCTCTCCAGGGGTGTTTGAGAACGTCCCCAGTCTTGTTGATGAAGAAGTGAAAGTGGCCGTGATCAGAGACACTCTGCGTCTCATGGACCCACTTAAAAAGAAAAGAGAGAGCCAGTAAGTATTTTTTATATCATTTATTTCTATCAATTCTGCTTCCCATGTCCTAAGCAGGTAAGTCAGGTTCTCAAAACATGTTACCATCGTGAGTGAGATTTCTACCTTTAACAATCTGATAAATCATATTTTCATCTACGAGTATCACCCTCCAGATATGATGACTCAGGGTCAAGATATGGAGACACACTTGCAGTTAGATCAGCAGATGAATTTCTAGCCAATCATTATCTGAATCTGGAAAGTCTTTTCTGAAAACCCAGCCTCTTCCAGTGACAGGTTCGCCCCTCCCTCACCATTGCCCACATGATGCTTCTCTGTAAAACCCTCGAGCACAGGCAAAGAGTACAAAATGCTGGAGAAGGGGGCCACAGGTAACTTGGACGTGTGTAGTAAGGATCGCTTTCTTTTCATTTTCTTCATGATGTTAACACTCTTGCAATATAAACTTTTTGTTTCAAAATCTGCAGAACCAATTGTCGAACTTGTGGCAGTTCTATAATATTTACAACCTTATGATACCTGTTCATCCCACCCACCCAGTAACATCTAACTGGAATATTGATGGCAGTATGTGCCCAGCCCTTCCCTCCATGGAATCACCCCTGAAGTGAAAGACATGATGTCACTTGGGTATTTTGTTGGTTTTGTTTTCACCAAATTCCTGGCTTTCGCAAAGTGAGGGTTGAGTAAATATGACTGTGCCTGTTTTAGGCAGAAAAACCAAAGACAAGCATTTCAAACAGCACTCCTGGTACCCCTGATATATCAGTTGGACCCAAACACCCCCCAGACAAGTAGAGCGTTTGTCAGCTGTGCTTTAGGAACGTGAGGAACCCTGGCTCCCCTGAGCAAGTGGTACTTCGCAGGCTTCCTCTTAATGCTGCCCCTCACCAACTGGGCTCAAGCCCAAATACTGTCAGAATCACCCTCCAGTAGTGCTTCTCCCCTTGGCCGCACATCAGAACCATCTGGAGCGCTCTCGTAAATACCAGTGCAAGTGCCCCCACTTCTAGAGATGCTGCTTTTAATCAGCCTGGGCTGGAGGCCTGACCACAGAAACACTGTAGGTTCCCCAGGTGAGTCTATCTCGCAGCCAAGGCTGGGCACCGCCACCCTGCCGGAAATGTCACTCTGAAGGAGTCTTTGTCATATTCTGAGTCAGGCTGGATGGTGTCTGCCTGGTTGAGTTCTCTTCCAGAGCATTCTTTGCTGTGCAAGGCACGGATCCAAGGCCATTAAGGCTTGCTGAGAACGCTCACCTGTGGTTCACGTGGGCCGATCCCGCCAGGTGTGGCCTCCACCCACGAGGGCTTCAAAGTGGTGGCGGGTCAGGTATGCGGAACCCCTCACGGGAGCAGCTCACGGCAGCAGCTCCCAGAAGCTGGATAATGGGTCTACTCGTACACACATGCGGCTGCCTTTTTTAGCCATCCTTGAGGAAAAGCAGTGGATTAATTGCAGTTTGGTCAGATTCATTGCAATGTAATTCATTTCTCAAAAATCTACTTTCTAACGGTTATTGATCTCACTGGAAGAGATTAGGTCTTGAGTGACTGGGTTGCACTGCAGGGAGATTTTGTCAGCTATCATGCCAGGATGGCTCAGGGGGATAGATTTTTAAAGAGGACCTTGACATGTTAACCCTCTGATTCCTTTGGTGGGAACAAGTTCAAAGGCTATTGTGTGGCCTAAGCCATCTTAACCTCTGCCACAAAAACCAGGAAGAGAGGAAAGGGGACTGCTGTATTTCACATTAGATGGCCTCAAAACATGATCAGCTTTCATTTTCTGGTTCTAGTTGTTTGGTTTTTTTCCCACTGGCACCTGGCATTTGATGTGATCCATATGAGCTGCAGATCTAAAAGTTAAAAGCAATTTAAACGGGCCCAGGACCATCGGGAGGGATGGGAAAGGCATTTTACGACTTATCAAGTCATAAGTAGCAGCACCTCATTTTTAATTTAAAAAGCATTGACTTTTCTTTTTTTTTTTTAACTGATAACCAAGAACAGTTAGAGCTTCAAGAACCTGACTTCAATCTTAACAGAAAAATGCTTTCATCTCACCCTTTCCCTACCTATAATATAAGGGTGTATGTTAATAGCTAAATGGCATTTACTGATATTTTTCCTTAATTATACCTTTTTTAAAAAAAAACAAAAATGAGCAACGATTGTCCACGAAAGCATTTTGTAATCAGTAAAGTGTATTATATGTAAGGGATTATTATCAGCATTTTGATAACTTTACCATACAGACCAAGGGCTTTTCTGGTGACTCAGGCTGTAAAGAATCTGCCTGCAATGAGGGAGACTGGGGTTCGATCCCTGGGTAGGGAAGATCCCTTGGAGAAGGAAATGGCAATCCACTCCAGTATTCCTGTCAGGAGAATTTCATGGACTTAGGAGCCTGGTGGGCTACAGTCCATGGGATCACAGAGTTGTACACGACTGAGCGACTAACGCTTTCATACAAACCAAAAGGATGAAATTATTCTCAATTCCAAATGTTTCAGAATAACTTGGAAAAGCACTGTATTTGTGCCCATAGATAAGGCACAGTGTTGTAGTGCTGAATTGTGTGTGCAAATCTGGGACCGGGTCATGCCAACTGCAGGAAGTGATGTCACAAGGACTTCTAGGCCAGCAGTTAACTTTAGAAGCCGGAGTTTCTTGTGTTTGAGTAGGATCCAACCTAAATATTTAAAAAACAAATGGTTTCCTTGCCTTGCTCTTCAGCTCCTTAACAAAAGAGAGTTTGATGTGTCCCTCATCACTTCATTGAATACACTTTGCCAGCAAGACTGTTGAAGGTAGTTTTCAGTTTTCCTGCACAGACTGAAGCAAAAAGGCTTAAACTGCTCTAAACTGCTCTAGAAAGAGGCAGAGGGGGCCTTGGAAGGGCATCAGACCCCTGTGTCTGTGTGTCCTGAATTTTCACACACCCCAGGAGTAGGGGAGGCATGTAGGCTGGGATCAGTATATTGATGGGGCAGAAAGCAGTCCTCATGCCTTCCATGGAGAGAGGGACCTGTGACCCTACTGAGTGGGTATAGTGGATAGAACTTTCTCCTGAGCCGAAGAGACTGAGGTTCAAATCTTGACGTTGAAGATGTGGAGAGCTATTCTGAACCTCGGTATCCTTTTCTATAAAATGGAGATAATGATGTTTAAGTGAAGCAACCTGCAAGACTTACTATAGAGTGACTCAGTCGTGTCTGAGTCTTTGTGACCCCATTGACTGTAGCCCACCAGGCTCCTCTGTCCATGGAATTTTCCAGGCAAGACTACTGGAGTGGGTTGCCTTTCCCTTCTCCAGGGAATCTTTCCCACCCAGGGATTGAACCCGAGTCTCCTGCATCATCTCTTGCATTGCAGGCGTATTCTTCGCTGAGCCACCTTACTATACAGTAGGCACTTAATAATGCTTAGTTTACTACTCACCAATAAAATTATCTACTATAATTGAACAAACAAAAAGTGCTTACCATGCTCTTTTCTGGTATACTTAAAGTAGACTTTCAAGTTTAAAACCAGTGACATATCCTAAAACCAAAGCTGTTGGACCTCTGTCACCAGACTTGACATTGGAGCTGACTGCAATGGAAAATTTTGTTTCCATGTAGCATGATGTCACTCGCCCAGACAAATTTATTTGTTGGGTTAGGAGAAAATATACCTTTGGCCCCCGAAGGACAAAATAGCTGTCATATGAGAGCTGTTTTGAACTATGATGACTTTTTGTAATATCTGATGACTATTGATTTACTTAATAGGATTCTTTGGAGGCACTGCAGGGGCAGGGGAAGGGCAATTGATGGGATAGGATTCTAGAACCCTCATATATCTCTGCATACACATATGGAGGTAAAATCCACACAATATGAAACTAGCCGTACAAAAGTATACAATTCGGTGGCATTTAGCACATTCATAATGTTGTACAACCAGCACCCCTTTCTAGCTCCAAAATATTTTGTCACCCCAAAAGGTAACCCATTATTCATTAGGCACTCACTCCCCATTCCCACCTCTGCCAACCTGTTTTCTATCTCTGGATTTACCTTCTCTGGTTACTTCTTATAAATGGAGTTTTTTGTGGCTGGCTTCTTTCACTTAGCGTGTTTTTGGTTCACCCATGTTATAATATGTATCAGTACTTTATTTCTTCTTATGCCCCAATAATATTGGTTCCAGTCTGTGGATATACCACATTTTATTATCCATTCGTCATTTGATGGACATTTCTGCAGGAGTCATTTCTTTTTTAACCAGAGGGGAGCTCGGATGACCTATTTTATACTTTGGCATTCTCTAGATTTTCTTTGAGAGGGAAGGATCTTTTCTGCTTCAAAAAGTTTCTAAAGCCCCTGGTTTAATGCAGCCCCATCATTTTATTGATGGAGGCACAGGACTGGCAGGAACCTTAGAAACCAGCATGCCCATCAGCTCCCGGGCTCAAGAACATCCCTCCTGAGCATCCGTGACAGAGGAGCAGCTCATGTCCCGACGAGGCACTGGACTTGGCATCAGCCAGGTCCTTAATCTCTGATCAGTGCATGATGAGCTTGGCCAAGTCGCTTTATTCTCTGATCTCATCTTTGAAACGATCAAGGGCTCAAGGGCTCCCCTTGGCTGGACTGTCACTGGCATCATGTGAAATGACACATACGAGAGGCCTTCATGGCATCTGAGGGGACTAGACAAATGCTACTTCTTAGGGTCACCATGTGGTCAATCAGGCTTTGTTTGAAAGTTATGCTGATAGTGACACGTAAGTCACAGCTCCTGAAGCAAGCCTGTTTGAGTTGTGTATGTAATGATTCCAGCTGTCTGAATTGTACAAAACAAAACTAAGATGAAGACCATCCATCACTTGCCAGGGGAGGAAATCAGGAAAACCAACAGAAGCTGTCCTCTTTTCTCAAGGTATTTGGGGAGCCTAAGGTTTTCTTTTGAAACACTTCTATCAGAAGCAGAAGAGCTTTCCTAGATTGTTTTATAAACAAAGTGATTATTCCACCAACTGATTAATTTTTGGAAGTTGGGTTTACCCCTGGTGGAGTCATTTTACTAGTATTTTGCTCCTTTTCCTGGATGTAGATGTTTCTAGTAACCATTTTCCTTTCTTAGGAATCATTACCCTTTAGGACCCCCAGAGTAATATAAATAAAGCCGGGGGCAGGCTTGGAGTAATCTGAGGGGATTCCTTGATGCCATGCAGTGGCTCCCCCTGGGAGCCGGGGGTAGCTGGAAGCCGCTTGCCTCTTATTCAAAAGTGTACAGTTGGAACATGGTTGTGTAAGTCACAGAAGCCCCTTTTCCCACAGCAGCGTTTCATGGTCCTCTTACCTTACCTCCAGCTTCATTTACCTCCTATCACCATGACAACCAGGTTTATATGAAGGGTGGAGTCAGCCTGCCAGTACAGCTTCGTCCCTAATTCAGAGAGGTTCATCCTCTGAAGGCCTCACTGGGAGATCTGTCTTCACTTCTTACCTTGACTCTCAAGTATCCAAGTATCCCTTGGATCTTCTGACATGTTTAGAACCCACACACTAGGTGAATCCTCAAATGAGGTTGGTTCTATGTAGAATCTAGAATAAAGGCGAAACGTTCTAACATAACATTCCCTTCTTAGGGCTTCCCAGGTGGCGCTAGTGGTAAAGAAGCCTCCTGCCAATGCGGGAGACATAAAGAGATGCCGGTTCGATACCTCGGTGCGGAAGGTCACCTGGAGGCGGGCGCAGAAACCTGCCCCAGGATTCTTGCCTGGAGAACCCCATGGACAGAGGAGCCTGGCGGGCTGCAGTCCATACGGTCACACAGACTCGGACACGACTGAAGCGACTTAGCACACACGCATTCTAAGAGAACAGAGATCAAGGAATCTCCCAGTGGTTCGGTTTCACAGCTGAGGGCTTGTAGTCTGATCGAGAAATGTAACTTCATCCTGTCCTGGGGAAGAGTATAAAAAATACATTAACCAGAAATTCCCTCAAGCCCGGATCTCTACCATTTAAATTGGCAGTACGTCCCGACTAAAATCCCCTCAGTGATAGACAAGAAGGGTTTCTAAGCTATTTGGACTAAACATGCCTTTGTCAATGCAGAACAGTATCTTTCTTACTTTTCAGAGTAGTCTTCTGGAAGCAAGCATTCTTTCAGGAGAATCGTCCAACCACCCTGTCAAATGGCCCATCTATGTGCACACAGCTGACGTTTTGTTGAAATTCTGGGGCTTTGTTGACCCCTAATGATTTCTTTGTAGCAAAACCCTACAGAGAAGCACGCCCTGACCTCAAGCACCTTGAAGATTTCACATAAATCAGAGTCACAGAAAGATGAATATTTGCACACTTG